GACACCTGTATACCCTTGTCTCCTACTTCCATACCTCCACACTATCTTAGTATCCAACTGGCCACAATATTCTGAAAAATTCTACCTCCTAAATGTCTCCCAACTCCTTCCAGTCCATCACCATCTCCTCTTTCTGGGCTTCTGCCACAACCTCCCCAACACATGAAACTTATACTTTGCTTTCTCAGAATCCGTTCTCCATTGGGTAGTCTTTCCTCCTAGTCAAAATTCTTAAATGGCTCTCTGAAATCCTCCAACCTCCTTAGAATAGTCCACAACGTTATTTATGATCATATTGCTGCTTCTGTCCAGTTAAATCAAACTCTACTGAGATGAAATCTTCCTCAAACCCAAGTGTCTGACCTTGGGCATTATAAAATAATGTAGTAATTGAAAAACTACATTTCTCAGCATACACCATTAGTAGGACTCTTCTGTTCTGCCAATAACATTTTCTGCATTGGGGCTTAACCTCATGAATGCACCGTGCTACAATCTCTATCCTAACCTCACTCATTTTAAGCCTGGATTTTTTTTTTAAAATTATTTTTCCATGTCTTTTTCTCCAGCTGGATTATAAATTCCTTGATGGCAAAGATTATCTTAATATTGGTGTACTCCATAGATAGCACAAGGTTATGCATGTAACAGATACTCCATGATTCAGTGGTACAATTCTCGCTTTCCATGCAGGAAACCTAAGTTCAATTCTCAGCCAACGCAACTCATGCACAGCCGTCACTAGTCTGTCAGTGGAAGTTTGCACGTTCTGTGGTGCAAAACAGGTTTCAGTGGTGGTTCTAGACCAGTATGAGCTAGAAAGAAAGTCATCGTGAGGTTCTTCTGAAAATCAGCAATGAAAACCCTACGGATCACAGTGGTCCAGTCCACAAACAATTGTGCTGTAGGACAAGGTAGGCTTTCATTCCAAGCATAGAGTTGCCATGAAGGGCAAACTCAATGCCAGCTAACAACAACAAAGAAAAGTAAATGTTTACTGGAGTGAATTCCATTAAAGACTCCTCAGATGTGTCAACATTGGAAACACATTCAGTATTTTGTAAACTTTTGTGGATATTCTACTGAATAAATTCTTCAGAATCTCAGGCTTTGCTCTTTATGGTTTTTTGTTTAATCCAGTTTTTCATGCACGACCAGTTTCTAACTAACTCTTCAAATACTTCCTAGGCAGCACCATGATTTGGGTCAGATTTAGTCTGGAAACTTACAGACATGCTGAGCAGTGAGTAAAAGCAGAATCTCAGTCTGCTTCACCCTATTCTGGGAATAATCACTGTATGTAAGTGCAGTCATATATGTATATGTATACATACATACATATATATGTGTATGTATTTAAATTTATATACATATGTATATATATTTAAATGAACACCTTAAATGAAATACGGATATATCTGGATTTTTGAACTAATTGTCTGAGGCAGTGCTTGAGGAAAAAAAAAAAAATCTGAAGTAACTAAGTAAAACAATTTCCAGGTTAGGTTTGCATAAGAAGCTCCTTCAGGAAATAGTCTCTAGGACTTTTATTCTTTTGGTGTAAATTTAGCATAAAGCAATAGGCTTCATTTAAAACACACACACATGCACACACAAAAAAACTATCAAAGTGTCTTTCAGCACAGGGCTTTTGCAAAGGATTCTCAGGTATTCCACAATCCCCAAAGCATCTCTTTTAGAAGCCATGGTGGTGCAAAAGTGGTAGCTCAGCTGCTAATGAAAAGGTTGGCCATTTAATTCTACCCAGAGGCCCAGGAAGAAAGGTCTGGCAATCTATTTCCAAAACTAGCCACTGAAAACCCTATGAAGCACAGTTCTACTCTATCTTGTATGGTGTCACCATGGGTGGGGACTGACTTGATGGCAACTGGTTTGAGTTTTGCTTGGATATCAGTATGAGAATGGTCACAGCCACTTCTCTCTCACCTTAAGAGCAGCAGGATGAAGCCACTACCCATGCAGAAGCACTAATGAGAAAAATGATTCAACCCAACAACACTAATAAGACAGAAATGCTTAAAATCAGCCACTTCAAAGACCATACGCTGAAGTTTTGGTCTTAGAATTTGACTGAAAATTCTGAGAATCTCCTTGCTTGGTATTTTATGACCCAGAAGTATTCATTAGGAGAGACTTCTTTTACCTTCTGTAACAGAGTAGCCTGCAGCAGATCAAAGCATCAGAAAACAGCTGGAAAAGCCAAGTCTAATAAGAAAACTGTTTTAAGGTGTTAGAAAGCTGCTGAGGCAACCAAAACACCAGGGCTAAGAATAAAGGGTGAAAAGAACCACAAGGAGGTACCCAGACAATCTGAGTTACATTTCCTCTCAAGGCATTTGTCAGTTCTCAGCCTGAGGTGAAAGGCTGAGAATCAGGGCAAAGGACTTGAAAAATGAGTATTGTCATAGCCAATAAACATTTGACAAAGTGCTGGAATCACTGGCATCAGGAAATCTAAATTTAAAACCACAATTCAACCACAAGCACAAATACTACACACCCACAGAATGAGGGAAAAAGACAAAAACGGAAGCAACATTGAATGCTGGTGAGGATGTGAAACAGGAATTCTCATATATCACTAATGAAAGGGCAAATCAAATCATGGGATCATTTTGGAGAACTGCTTAGCAAGATCTACAAAAGCTAAACATGAACAGAGCCCAAGAAATGGCTGCATATGTTCTGCAAAAGACATGTACAAGAATGTTCCCAACAGCAGTACTTGCTAAAACCCCAAACTAAAAACAAGTCAAAGGTCCACCCGCAATAGAATGGACAACTATATTTGGATGCAGTGACATAATGCAATAACAAAGGGCAACGGAAAAGAATAAACCACTGACATATGCAGCAAACTGAATGTACAATGTATGATGAATGAAAAAATGGTAAACATAAAGGAGTACTATGATGATTTCATATCACATGAAGTTCAAAACAAATAAAACTAATGTAAGCCAACAGAAGTCAGAATAGTGATTACCTTTGTGATGGGGAATAATGGCAGGAAGGGCCTGCAGAGGCTTCTGGGGCACTGATAATGTTCTCTGTCCTGAAGTGGGTGGCTCATGGGTATACGGTGACTTCGTAAAAATTCACAGAACCGTAGACTTAGCACTTATGCACTAATTAATTAGACACTGTAACAAATGCACATGTCCACAATACTCATTCTCCCCTTCCTCCTCTTAGTTATAAAATAGTAAGCCATGTTGTACAACTCTGGGTACTATTCTTACAGATGTAGTGTGAAAGGTGTCTCCTGGCTTTGTACAAAGTGGTGGCCTTATTATAACCCCCCACTTTTAGCATATGGTCTTGTTCAGGTAGAGATTGAATTTCTCAGCTTCTCTGATAGCTCAATGTGACCATCATCTAAGTTCTGGTCAGTGGGATGTGAATGAAGTACCACTGCAGGTCTTTCTAGTGAGAAGACTGGCTGTGCACCCTTGTGCTCTGTCCCTTCATCCCATGGACTGAAGATGGCCAGGTGGAGAGGGTGCTTTGGGTCCAGAGATGGAAGCCATGCAATGAGGATGGCAAAAACATCCTACTCCTTATGTCTGGACTGGTATATGTGAGAGATATAAGCTTAAGCTTGTTTTAACCACTGATTTAGGGGGTCTCCTTATCTAGCAGAGTCCCTGAGTGGTGCAAATGGCTAAGCACCCGTTTACAAACCTAAAGGAGGTGGCTTGAATCTACTCAGAGGCATCTCGGAAAAAAGGCCTGGCAATCAACTTCCAAAATATGACAGCCACCGAAATCCCTATGGAGCACAGTTCTACTCTAACACATATTTTCAACATGAGTTGAAATCCACTGGATGGCAACTGGATTGGTTTTCTGTTTTGTCACAACAGCTTAGATGGTACCATAACTGATACAGACCTTAAAGCATGGTATCGGAGGTAGTTATGGGTTGAAAATTCTGTACTTTTATTGTTTGATATTTATCACAAACAACAGTATTTCATTGTTCATTGTGAGTGCAGCACCATACAATCTAGAGAAAATCCTAGAAAAAGCACCAAAATCAACTAAACCCACCACTGCCACTGAGTTGATTCAGATTCATAGGGACTCTATAGGACAGAGTAGAAGTGCTCCATAGAGTGTCCAAGACTATAAATCTTTACAGAAGCAGATTGCCTCATCTTGCTCCTATAAGAGTGGCTGGCAGGTTTAAACCATTGGCCTTTTGGTTAGCAGGCAACTGCCTTAACCATTGCACCACCAGAGCTCCTCTATTAGAAAAAAACACAGTGGAGGGGAAATGACATTTTCCAATGAGGGAGCAGCCCTGGAGTCTCCTATTCTACCCCTAGTGATATGGAACTGGGTTTCTTACCTGTAAAAAGGAAAGGTAGTCTGGATAACCCTAAGAGTCTCTTCTACCTCTAACATTCTCTGTTTTTCTTGGAAAGATTTAAGGGCTCTCATACAATTACAGCTGGCTTGAGACCACAATGTGAACAGAGCTATACTTCTCAGAGGCATCCTTGTACACATAACTTGAAACATTTTCCAATATGGAGAACAAGGCTTTTTACATGTAGATTGTCTGCAGACCTAAATCACAATACATTGTACATTTTCTAGGTGCTCTTTTTGGTGATTCCAGCCAATCAGCACTGAGTATAAACAACAGAAAGAACATCTTTAAAATATAAAGCATCACTAACCAACAGTGCATCAAGGCATATTGGGTTAAGGAGTCAAACAGAAAGGATTAGACAACAGGTAAGTTATGTTTTGGGTGGCGAATACAAAGAAACAAAATGGATTCTTCTCTTTCTGGATCTTTCAAAGGGCTCTTAGTTTACACATGGCCTAAGAGTTGAGTTTGTTTTTTATTTGGAAGGAATACATTTGTGATATTTTATCAGATAATGAACAATGTGGTGAGCACAGAGGTGACGTTAAAAAAAATCCTCCATACTTTATATGGTTTAACAATAGACAAGTTATCTTACCTGGGGATTTTTAAATACAGCATATTTTTCCTCTTTCTCCAAAAATAGCATTTTATTCTCTGTGTCTCTTGTCCAGTCTGATAAGACTTCAACAACATTTTCATGGTCTTCAAAAAACCTCTCTGATGAAACAAGAAAAGGCATTGTTTCAGACTCAACACATCACTGTTCCCAACTGAGAAACAAGCTCACACTGAGATAAACACAATGCTTCATACTTTACATGTTGTTGCTGTTAGGTGCTGTCGAGTCGTTTCCAACTCATAGCCACTCCATGCACAGCAGAACAAAACACTGCCCAATCCTGCACCAGCTCCATGATCCCTGCTATGCTTGAGCCCATCATCGCAGCCACCCTGTCAATCCATCTCGTTGAAGGCCTCCCCTCTTTCATCGACCCTCCATGCTACCAACCATGACATCCTTCTCCAGGGAATGGTCCCTTCTGAGAACATATAGGTGAGACGAAGTCTGGCCATTCTTGCTTCCAAGGAGCATTCTGGCTGCACTTCCTCCAGGACAGATCTGTTAGTTCTTTTAGCAGTCCAT